TAACATCTTCCTTAGACATCTTATTAGTTAATACATTAGCAATAATTTGCTTGTCTTTTAAATTTAGACAAAGTGCCTCAGATATTGTTGTTTGCTTTAGTGAAACTTTTCGTGCTTTTACATGTTGCTAATGTACATGCTTTATCTTAAACCAGAGGCACTAACAATAGTTATGAATCTGCTTTACAATGAAAGGACTGATTGCAAAAAATGCCCACAAAGTAAATTGCTTCTATGCTAAATCAGAATTTTTATTTATGGGTTTGGTGTGATCAAAAATTTCTGATTCTAGTAAATCAATAAATTCAGCAGGTATTTGAAAGGTAGTTAAAATAAGATAAATAATTTGTGTAGTTTGAAGTAGTAGTAATCTTTTTGAATTGTATAATTCACTCCAAATATTTTTTAGATCAAATTTGAAAAGAGTGTCATATTTAAGAAAAAAGGTGTTTTGCTTTACAGCATCCAATAGAAGCAATTCTTAGTCTAGTAGCATCTTAATAACTTCTCGTTGCTGTCTTCTTTCTGCAAATTTTTCAAAAAAAGTAATTTTTGGATTCATTAAAAAAATAGATTGCAAATCATTCTTTAACTTAAGATCACTCACTATGAAATCTTTGAATTTTCAGTAAGATAGAATATATTCATATGATTTGCTCTTAGATAGATGGGTCTTGCGTTGAGTTTTGTGCTAGAAAATATATATTTAAAAAACCAGTAATTTGATATACAAAAAATACTTTATGTTGAATAGTAATAAAATTTTCTTGGTAGATGTATTCAAATCATTCTCAATAGTGTAGTTTGGGGGGTTTAAAACCCATGAAGTCTGCATCACCTTCTTTCTTACACACACTTCACATCAAGGATAATTATCACACCCAAGATGAAAAAATAACTTTATATAGGAAGGGAATACTTAGATCCTAGGCCTGTTTCAAAAGGCGAAAAGTACCCTTAAAAAGACTATACTATAAAACTAAATATAATAAAAGATATTTAACCTATTTTTAAAGGATTATAAAATATGTTCATGCTTTCTTTGATATGATTAGTATTAGAATTAGAAATACCCTCTCTGACAATTGAGCTATCAGATTTTTCAACTTTAGCTTTTTTTATAGTGTGTAGTTCTTTCTTATACAAATTTCTTTTAGAGGCCTTTGACATAGTAGGTGTATTTGTAGTGACTTAATGTTAACACAAGTATGTGATTTATAAAAACAAAAAAAAAATTTTTAAGATGTTCTCTTGAAAACTAACAAATTCAAAACAGAACTTTGTAATGAGAATAATCCTTTTATTATAAATCACGACTTATTCTTATTTAGTATATAACAATCTAATACGAAGCAATATATAATATAAATAACTCGGCATTGCAATAATCCAATATGAGTCAACTAACAATTTTTATTTGGCATCATAATGATAATTTAACACTACATAACAAATAATTAAAATGTTTACTAAATTTGACATCACAATTATAGAACATAACAAATCAACTATCACACATTTCTATATTCGGGATTAGATTATTAATAACTTGTTGAAAGACATATTTGGGTATATGGGTATAGTAATAATTTTACATGTTATATTTAAGCTAGATCTACAAATTTAGAATAACTATTATACACTTCATTATTACTAGTATACTTATAACAAACATGTTCCTAATTTTTTTTTACCAAAATGCAGAAGTGCAGAAGTATAAATATATAAATACTTATAAATATCTGTAAACATAAATGCACATTAGTTTAACACAACTACATAATTTTTATTGTTGGCCATTAAATCGTGTCAGTACCAATCTGTACTGAAATAAATCACATGAACATATATTGATACTGGTACATTTGTGCTAGAAAAAATAAAGTATTTATTATCACATATCTTAACAGACCTATAAGACTGCCTTTTATTCAAAACTTATCTACATCGATATGCCCGAATTTTTTTATTACTTCTGGAGAGACACTGTATTAATACAGTAATATTGTAAATACAGAAGTAATATAAGGTTTTGTAACACTCTCCTGCAGAATCATTTCCCACAATTGATTTTTTTATTAATAACGAATATTACGAATAATGCAAATAATGCCTAGACCTTTTCTTACCCTATACAATCTTGCAATAAGAATGAAGCTTAAAAAGGCTATAAGGGTAATAAGTATAACATTCTTTATCAGTAGTTTTATCCAAATTCATATGTTATACGGGGCTTGGAATCTCTAGATCTTGAAGATCATTAACTTTTTCACTTCACAGAAGCGATTATCAAATCTAAGAAGATTTAATTTACATTTAAAACAACAAAATAGATTCAGTATTTGGAGCTTATAACTGAACGGTGTTGCTTTGTTAAGTGTGGTCTGGCATTGTATTAGGGTAATATAATTACTAATCATGTATTTTTTCAGATCTAGATCCAAAAAATTATAAATCGTAGACTCACTCTTTTTTTTGGAAGCAATAGTACTGTACATCGTATCTGGGTCTACTATGTAATATGAAATGAGGCAGTATAAAATTAACTGGTTTTTATCTTGTAAGGTGGGTTACTAATAACTTTTTTTTCTGCTTATATATATTTTTACTTGATTCACTTGCCTGTAATTTATTTTTAATTTACTATTTTATTTAACAGAGGCTATGAAAACAAATTTACTTATTATGTTTTTTGTATTTAGTTACAAAAAATAAGTAGTAATAAAAAAGCCACTCTTAAGACCAACAATAGTAATGCCTTCAAGACTAATAATAGTAACACCTCCAAGACTAACAATAATAATGCCTCCAAGACTAGCAAAAGTAATGCCTCTAAGATCAGCAAAACTAATGCCTCCAAGACCAATAATAGGAAAGATGGTTATAGTATTGTTAAGTTCAGAAGATTGCGACTTGGTTACTTCAAAATTCTAAACCTCATGTAATGTATGACAAGTAACCTTTTTGAAAGAGGGTGTTAGATTTGGCTTGTGGGCGGTTAAGGCTTTCGGTCACTATGGGTCAACAAATGCAAGTAGAGTCAATCATGTGGTCAAGGGTTAAACAGTGACATTATTAGAGGTTCACAGGGTTTGTAATGGTAATAGTGTTAGTGTTTATTAAGTACAATGTAGGGTATTAGGATTTATTGTTTAATAAAGCAAATGAAGCATACTGCTCCAAAGGGCCATTTCGGCCTTTATTTATAATATAAAATTCATCACTTACAAATGCGACTTATTCATTAAAACTAATTAAACTAATTACAGTAATTTATTTAATATCCATTATTTCCTCTCTTTATTCCTTATCTACCTGAAATACCTTTTCTGATCTTAAATGTAACTTATTATATTTATTGCATTTACAGCACTTATTATATTTATTGCATTTCGTGTATTTTTCACGTGATTGGTCATGATATAAGGTATCATGATATTATAAAGACTATATAGGGTATTGAGAGCTCCTAAATTGGTGAGTCTGTTGCTTAATCAAAGGTTGGCTTTGTGTAACGATCAGATAACTTGCGTATTTGGTAAAGGCATGTGGATTTGATAAGTGATTTATCGTCTGTAGGTAAGTATTGATCTCTTCTCTTGATTCCTTCAACCTACTCTTTTTACTAACTCTTATCTTCTTTTTCGTTTCAATCTGTATTTTACTACATTGAATCAGTGTCAAGACTCTTCTCTTTTAGATCAGTCTTCATGGCATGTGACTATGGCGAACGATCAACTGCAGGCTTAGTTTATTCTTAGGGCAGACAGGTTCTGTTAAAGATGGAATTTAACAATTGTCATGAGATGTTACAAGACAATACTTGTACTTTTGTTAGGGTCAGGTAAGTAGTTCACAGTTGGAGATACTTTATTATTCTTTTATTATTTCTATCTAAACCCTATCTAAATCCATCCTCACAGTATATAAAATCCTACCTTTTCACATATATTTGAAGTCAGAAAAAATAAAATATATAAATGATTACTTATGTAGTAATATTTTTTATTTAAATTAAATGATTTGACCTATGACCCTTTAGAAGATGATGATTATAACATTAATGAAAGCAGACCCTTGGACAATTTTTCAGAAGAAAATTCAGAATGGTATGAGGAAAAGGATTTCAATGAGTATGAGAATCCTGAACAACAACAAAAAAGGCTAAATCAAAATTAATAAATAGTTCATATTTTTTTGTCTACAGTATGCAACTGCAATGTATTTTTTTATTTGTGTATTGTTGTTCTGGTAACAATTTTTTATTATATAAAGAAGGGGGTTAGACCCCACCATTTTTTATTTTTACGCGATTTTTTACAATACAATTTGTGATTATTAATTAGTGGAGATTATTGAGTTAACTTTATTAATCTATGCTATCACGGTTACTACTAGGATTCTAGTATGCGAAATTTATTCTAACACGTTATCGCATTCACACCGCTTATATATTCCATTCGCTACTTTTTTGCATGTTTTGCAATATAGGTGTGAATGGTGATTGCATTCGTCACAAACCTTACACCCGTGCTTCCAACCTCTAAAGATATGCCACTTTTCGATGTAATTTTGTTTATTTTTATTTGTAAGTGTACTATGTTCTTTCATTGTTATATATTACGGAAAAAATTTTTTTACGTGTGGTATGAAATTTGGTCTTTATAAAATGTCATTTTATTATAAAAGCGAATTTATGTAAATTTATTATACGTAGCATTCCCGATATACAGTAAAAAAATTATTAGTGTTAAAAAAATAAAATGAAAGTTACTGACCCGAAGGACTATACCTGATACTATTTCTTCTGTTAGCAAATTTTTGACTTTGACATTGATCATAATGCGATTGTTTTTTGATTATTACAGTAGTAAGTGAATAGTCTTTCGTATTCAACTTATTTGATTAATTGGTCAATGATCACATGTCATCCTATGAAGTGTATAAATAAGTTACCAATCCTGTGAATTTTTTTATTGCTGTTTACCGACTATCTAATCATGGCAACCACACTTTCGGGAAATGCAAATGAATCCAGTAGTAGTGGTCGTTTAAACAATGGTCAAGTACTATTCTTGTTTTCTCGATTAGCAACTTTAACTATTTATTTCCACTAACTTATAAAAATTCGTACAGAGTATAGTCAAAAGATTATCCATAAAAAGTATAATTCAAAATCTCATGAAAAGTGAAGAGACGAAGGTATTTAAATATTACTTGAAAATATAGTGAATGAATTATAACTAGCAATTCATTATTTCTCTCAGGCCATTAATCAAATAGAAGAAGAGCTTAAACTTGCGAAAGAAAAGATTTCCGAGGATGATTTAGATTTAGATATTGTAGAAATAGATTTACCACCCATTAAAGCTAAAAAACGGGAGAAAGTTCTTGAAGCTATTCACAACATTTTCCAAGTTGAAAGGATTGATGATAGACTGTTCATTAAAGTGAGCATTTTTGTCTTACGATTATATGACTTTTATTTTCTGATCTTTATACTATTCACTCAGTTTAATGGTGGAATGAAAGAAGAAATACATTTCGCACTGAATGTTTCGCTTCGTCAACAGCTTCCAGGTTGGTGGGTGCAGACTGACGTGGTATCGGTAGTTAATCGTAATGAATTTAGACCTGACGTAGGAGGATGGAACACACGACCAACGCGTCAGCAAAGGATCGCACCTATTGTTAATTCGTCGCCACCTCCTTTATTATGGATCGAGGTAACAGTTGTTTTCAGAAATGTGTTTTTTAACGATCTTTTTAATTTGTTGAATATTACAGGTGACATTCAACAAGACTAATGA